AGGTCGCCCTTATCATTGAGGGATATGAAAAATAGTTGGCCGATTCTCAGACCTACCCGATATGCACACAAAATTTCAAAAAAATCGGTAAATCCGTTTCGGAGGGGTTTGGTGACAAACACCGCGACACGAGAATTTTATATATATAGATATATTTGTATTTTTCCCAAGGCCATGCATATTGATATGAATGGAAACAGCGGTGGCCTCTATCAGTCGCGCCAAGAGGATGCAGGACGAGGTCAATGAACCCACAACACAGTCCTTTATCGCAGAATGTAACAATCTTTATTTCGCATGCAAGCGCTAGGAACTATCCGTGTACTATGATGTAAATATGTTTACGGCTGTAAATCCTTATGGGGTAGTCAGAGGTGTATGTCGACTATTATCGTGGAATTGTAATTGTTGACAGTGTTCATTTATATTTATATATTTAGTGCACTGACATCACTAATAATAATAATAAGTCGATTGCTTGGGTACCTCTGTCCCATTAGTGTTTCAACCGTGAAGTAGTTGTGTTTGCATGGCTGTGTTTCGGTTTGAACGATTTTTTTTATACTACTAATAATGGCAAACAAGCTGACGGCCCACTTGATGGAAAGTGGTAACCGTCGCCTATAGACATGAGCAGTGCCATGGACATCACAGAGTATACTGTTACGCCCATGATACCATCCATGCGTTGCCATTCCTGAGGACTCGGGTGTTATTCCTCTGTACCCTGTAAATTTACTGCCATATGTCCACCCTTCAAACCGAAACACAGCCATGCAAACGTAACTGATTCACGTTAGAAACACGAATAAATATATATAAATTTAACAAACAAGGTATCGTTTAATGCATTTTTTATCGGAAATAGCCATACCACCAAAACGGTTTAATTATTTCATTACCACTTCCCACCACATTACTATATTTAAGCTATGATATGTCGCATGACGTTTTCGTCATTCCGTCACACGTTGTCCATATTTACTTTGTATATGTTGCGGTCAAAACTCTTAACCAGTCAAAAGTATTATTGACTAGCAAAATCAGTCAAAAACACTTTTGCCCAATGGAGCTGGTTAAATTAAAAGTACATTTGACTAAGTGATTCCGTCAAAAGTGATTTTAAATACTTGTATCAGTCAAAACTAAAAAAATTCCTAACTTAACCTCATTTAAGTAAATTTTGTTTAATGGGTGAATATGGCTTGGTAACCCCGCCTGCGCTAACGGGATACGCTGGCGGTGCACCAGTGAAGGGTGATAGATGACAATGAAAACAGGCCGGTTAGCCCATCATGATGAATTCATCAGGAATTAACCATGATAGTTTACAGGGGGAACCGCGAGGAGGTCGACCTGGTTGGGTATATTGCTAGCAATGGGATTCTCAGTCTTCATTACTAACAATCTTTTCCTCGCTAATTTAAGTAAATTAGGTTAGGTTAGTATGTTTTCTTTGTATTGATTGTAATGCCAAATTTTTCGTAATAAACGATTTCACATTTAATAAATATCTTTCTTATTCACATCTAACGAGTTAATATTGCTTTTGACTGACGCTTAATTGCAGTTAAAACTACTTTTGACAATAGTCACTCTGTATTCATGACTAAATTAAAATATTGATGTGACCTCGCCATTACATTATATTTATTTATAATTTATAATAATTTAATTACAATTTTCATTATTTATATTATATTATTATTCATGTTGTTAATATCTTTACTTATTTAATGACATTTAATAATTTAATTACATTTTAATGTTTATCAAACACAAGGCATGCTGTGGTCGCCTATAAATGTAAGAACAGTTAGATCTAATCTGCCAGTGTATTGTATTGAAATGTTTAGCTGTATCTTATGTTGGTGATCCTATAAATAAATAAATAAGAGCGTCAGTCAAAAGTATTTTTAACCGCAAATTTGCAGTCAAAAGTAAACTAATAACCAATAATTTTCACTCAAAACCACTTTTGATCAACCTGCTTAATTAAAAGTACTTTTCACAGATTTAGCTAGTCAATAGTATTTTTTACTGGTTAAGAGTTTTGACTGCAACATATATAGTGATCGCTGCCGCAACAGAGCCTACACAGTCGCAGGTCAGGGAGGGCGTGGGCGCGTCTGCGCGCGCGCACCTAACATGGTAACACGTGACCGCGCTGTCACTACCGCCAACATGGAAATGAGCTAACTAGTTTTTTTCATGTAACTTAGAATGGTAAGCTGATGATCCACCTGATGCATAAAGGTAACCATCGCCTATAGGGAGGGGAAGGGATTGTTAGTAACGCGGACTATTATTCTTATTGCTAGCAATATACCTCCACGTAGTCTTCCCTGGAAACCAATGTGCTGAATTTCAGATATATTTATCACAATGGACTATCATCCCTCACTGGTGACTCATAAGCATAATATGCTTATGGGGCACCAGTGAGGGATGATATATCGTGAGCGCAGGCGGGGTTATCATTCCATTATCATACATTAAAAAAAACCGTCACCTATGGGGGCGAGGCAGATTCACAGTAATGGGGACCCGATGGTCCTATTGCTAGAAATGTACTTTATCAGGTCGACCTTCTCGTGGTTCGCCTCGGAACTATCTCGGGTAATTCACGGTGAATTTATCACGACGAGTCAACAGTCAATTTCTATTCAAATCCGTTTAGTAGTTTTTGCGTAAAAAAAAAAAACAAATAAATATTCATCCATCCATCTTTACAAATTTTCATACAGTATTAATATTATCATATTTTTATATTTGTTAAATTTTTTTTTTAATGTTTACTCAGAACGAATGTAATCGAATGCCATAATAAAAATGGAAAAATAACGCCACTGCATGGTCTGTGTGTCCTCTTGAAGTGACAGTATTATCTGTTTTATTTGCATATACTATAGATAATTGTAGTAGCATTGAACTTGTCCGCCGCCACTGATATAGGTAATAATAGCTCTACATAACTAATTATCTGTAATTATATTTAGACAGGAGTCACTAGTAAGCTATCCGTATGATCCCGGTATAGAATAGGCCACTCTTTCCATCCCCGTGGGTGTCGTAAGAGGGCAACTAAGAAAAGACGAGTTATGTGTAGCAGCGTCCCTCTTAAAACATCACCAAAGCTTAATTTTGGTTGCCAACTCGCCTACCAAGTGTGGCAACTCCTGGCAAAACCCCTCAAGGGGAGGCTTATGTACAGCAGTGGACAGTTAAAGGCTGAGATGTTGATGATAATGATTTTTGTGTTTTTTTTTTTATACAACTTAGAATGGCAAACAAGCTGACGGCCCACCTGATGTAAAGTGGTAACCGTCGTCTATAGACATGAGCAGTACCATGAACATAAAAGAGTATATTGTTTCACCCATGCGTTGCCATTCCTGAGGACTCAGGTGTTATTACTCTGTACCCAGTAAATTCACGCCATATCGCACCCTTCAAACCGAAACACAGCCATGCAAACACAATTGCTTCACGGTTGAAACACGAATAGGACAGAGATACCCAAGCAATCGACTTTTGTACAAAGTCTCCCTCTGGTGTCCTCTCTTGAAGTCATAATATTATCTGTATTGTTTGCATATACTATAGACAACTGTAGTGGCATTGAACTTGCCTTCCACTGATATAATAGGTGGTAATAGCACTACATATGTAATTATATAGTAGACAGGAGAAATACTAGTAAAATCTTAGAATACAAAGTATATATTTTGACAATGTAAACGAGATAAAAAAGTTATAACAATGTTAGAGTGAGATAAAAAAGTAGGGTATGCACCTATACAATATAGGCTCGAAGCTGATTTGTACGAAATAAATTCTCATTCTTTTTAAAATTGAAGGGTAATTAGTTTTAAGTAAATGTAAGGTAAGAGTCAAGTGTGTATCAGGCATGAATTTACTGGGTACAGAGGAATAACATTAGAGTCCTCAGGAATGGCAACGCGTGGGTGGTATCATGGGCGAAACAGTATACTCTGTTATGTCCATGGTACTGCTCATGTCTATAGGCGACGGTTACCACTTTACATCGGGTGGGCTGTCAGCTTGTTTGCCATTCAATGTTGTATAAAAAAAAAAAGCAGAATATAATATACTCGTAAAGTAGGGGAAAAACAAAATTGCATTTTTTTCAAGTAGTTATTTAATAAACATTTAATTCTTTAAATTAAATATAACGGAACCATCAAAAATATTTTTACAGGAACTGATGAAAGGATATTTTATTTAATTCACATAAAATTCTGAATGTTCACAAATAAAATTAAAGTTGTGAAAAATATGTGAATTCTTGTATAAATATAAATAATAAATTCAAATTTGTCACATGTACATATTTACGAAATACGCACACCAGTGTAACCATTTTTTGTCTCGTTTTGTTCATTGTATTGCCAGTCTGCCAGTATATTATATTAAGTTTTTTTTTTTTTGATGGGTGAAAATGGTATTGTAACCCCGCCTGCGCTAACGGGATACACTGGCGGAGCACCAGTGAAGGGTGATAGATGAGAACGAAAACAGGCCAGTTAGCCCATCATGATAAATTCATCAGGAATTAACCATGATAGTTTCCAGGGGGAACTGCGAGGAGGTCGACCTGGTTGGGTATATTGCTACCAATGGGATTCTCAGTCTCCATTACTAACAATCCCTTTTCCCCCTATTATATTAAGTTAAATTAATAAATATATAATGTGTTATGCCACTCATGAATAATGATCACAAATTGAGCCCGAAACTAGTCGAGTTTTCTCGGTCTAATTATACGGAAATTAAACCTGTAGTTATTATATTAAAATATTCCTTTTATTTATTTATTTATTAGGAAAACTAACAACTTTTCCAGCAGTAACAGTAAATATAAATTATAATAAGAATTAGACAGCCAACTATGCCAGATCCCATGGTCAGAACAGAATTTTTCACTTGTTCTTCTAAATTGAAAGAATAAAAAATATCAAGTAAATATCAGTACTTACATCAGGTAAAGTGGCGACCAGCTCTACATGGCTGAACTCTTCACCGGCTGCTTGCGTTGGACTCTGCCACCAGGTTGTAGGGCTTCCATCCACTGCGTGTGAAGGGGGGTGACGCCGCGAGGGGGACCCGTCGATGCCTTCGCATACATCGCAGACCACGCCGCGTCTGGTAAAGAAATATTGTCATCACAATTTCGTTGCCCTTTTTTTCAACTGATGAAAATGGATTTTTTTTTATACAATTTAGAATGAAACAAGCTGACGACCCACCTGATGGAAAGTGGTAACCGTCGCCTATAGACACTAGGAAGCAAAAATATAGTCGTACGTAAACAAACAATATTTACGGTGTATCCTTAGATTATAGGTGTACCCTACACTGTAAACTGCAAAACAAGTGGTTGTAAGCATCTGTGTTTCGGTTTGAAGGGTGGATATATGGCGTGAATTTACAAGGTACTGACGAAAAACACCTAAGTCCTCAGGATGGCAACATATGGGGAGTATCATGGGCGAAACAGTATACTCTGTTATGTCCATGGTACTGCTCGTGTCTATAGGCGACGGTTGCCACTTTCCATCAGGTGGGCCATCAGCTTGTTTGCCATTCTAAATTGAATAAAAAAAAATCTACGATACATCTACATACGAGTACTTTGTAGTTACATGAATTGTGTCTACGTACTTGCCAGGAGTGTCTCTGCAGAACTCCTCGGTGCCCGTGTCTCCGCATGTCGCGTTCGCTGTGATTGCGGAGTAGGGCGCGACGTCGAGTGGGGCGGGTAGTAAGCCACTAGTCTCATCACCGATCGCCACCACCTCACCCTCGCTGGTACTCGCGAGGCGGTCCAGCAGTGCTCTACCTGTAACAAAAGGAAATGTTATGTTTACTTGATAGTATATACTTGCATGTTTATTATTATTTCAGCTATTAACTGTCCACTGCTGGACTTAAGCTTTCCCCACGAGGTTAGTTTTACCAGTAGTTGGCAGGCAGGTTGGCAACCACAGTTTTTTTTTGATGGGTGAAAATGGTATGGTAACCCCGCCTGCGCTAACGGGATACGCTGGCGGAGCACCAGTGAAGGGTGATAGATGAGAATGAAAACAGGCCAGTTAGCCCATCATGATGAATTCATCAGGAATTAACCATGATAGTTTCCAGGGAGAACCGCGAGGAGGTCGACCTGGTTGGGTATATTGCTAGCAACGGGATTCTCAGTCTCCATTACTAACAGTCCCTTTCTCCCCTAGCAACTACAGTTAGGCTTTCAGAGGTGTTTTAAAAGAGACACTGTTGCCCATCCTTCGCCGTCCTTTAGTTGCCACTTACGATACTCACGGGAAAGAAAGGGGTAGCCCATTCTATGCCGGGGCAGTCACGGCGAGAGACTTGCATGTAGAAATTGAAAATTATGAGCATCCTTTGAGAGACTATAGCACGGGGTTCTTCAAACAGGAGTGTAAGAGGTTTCTTCCGGGTTTGAAATGTGCGCGTAATATCCCCGGTATTGCAGGCGTTCACAGGCTACGGTAACCGCTTATCATCAGGTAGGTCGTGTATTTGTTTGCCACCACAGTAGTATAAAGAATTTAACTCTTTGGAATCAACTGTGTTTGCAGCAGTATTTCGGTCGAACCGATACGACAACATAACCTTCAAGAAAAGAGTATATTCCTTTCAAATGGCAACGCATGGGGGTATCGGCAGCACACCTTCAATGCCGTAGGTGTTGTGGGTGACCATGGGCGGCGGTAGTCACTTACCATCAGGTGAGCCGCATGCTCGTTTGCCCCCTGTGTTGTAAAAAAAAAAAAAAAGAAAAGAAAATATAAAGAAAAATAATGTTCTACCTTAACCGATATCTTAATTTGAACATTGATGGCACGATTCACGAATGAATATATCAAAATAATCTTAAAGTTACGGATATTATGTTATATTTTTAGAATAAATAATATATATATATATATATATATATATATATATTAGTATAAATTATTACCTCCTTTATTATATATTAAAAAAAATATATTATAAAGGAGGTACTCTTCGAAAAAATCAGCCAATCATAGCTACGCCACAAGAAATAAAGACAAATTGGAATTGACAAGAACACGACTCACAAAAGCTATGAAACAAGGCATGTATCTAAAAATAAAAATGTATAATAAATTATCCAATACAGCAACGCAATTGCCGAGAAATGAATTTAAAAATAAAATAAAGACATAATTTGAATAACATCCTTTTTACAACGTGACCGAATAACTAAATGCCAATTATAAATTATGACATTATTTATTTATTTCTGTTTAACTATAAGAAGTGTGACAACTCCTATTTTATAACTTGAAGTCATTATTATTGGTATATAGTTACCATTATATTGGCATGTATTAACTAATATATAATGTTAACTGTAATTAATTTGTAATGTTATTTTTATTTTATAATTCAAACGTTATTATTATTGTTATTATTTATTTTATTAATTTTAAATTTAGAATGTAAATATTGACTGGCCATTGTGCGACGGAAACTGTTACATTGGTTAATAAATAATAAAGAAATTTGAATATGAATTTACTACTAAAATTAGAGAAAATTCCCTATCCAATCACAGTGCATCAAGCCATCAATCCCACCAGCATATGTCATACAAACTGATATCTAATTACGTGCTCGGCTGTCACAGAACAGTCGTGCGTCTGGTCGTAACATATCTCAGTGGTCAGCGGTATAAACCGGCTAATTTATGCGAGCTCTGACTCCACACAGCATGTTCTTGTGGCGTCATCTCTGTAACTTATTACCATTGGCACAGCTATCTCCCGCGCGCCATCTGGCAACACTTCTTGACGTTGTGATAGCTTTATTTGTGAGCTTGGCCACAGAGTAGCTACGTACAGAGTGCGAACTTCGTCTATTTCGAAAGTTCTAAACACCGTATTTTTGAGAGTTCTCTAAAAACAAATTTTTGTGTGCGTTGCCTGTTATCTTTATTGATATTGAACCGATTTTGATAAATTATTTTGTGGCGATTGTTTGCGGAGCAAAATCTTGAATTGCCATACATAAGAATTAAAATAATTACAAAATAACAGCAGCGTCGCTCTTAAAAATTCACCAAAAGCTAACTGCGGTTGCCAATCCACCTGCCAAGCGTGGCAACTACTGGCAAAATCCCCTTATGGGCGAGAGTATGTTCAGCAGTGGACAGTACGGTTGATACAACTAATAAAATATCGACAAAATAAATTCCTCGACGTTCACCCTTGACCAAGTTTTTCGAGTCATTTCATTCTCGGAAATCAACGAGTCTGAGGTCAAATACATAATTAAAAACATGTTACAAGGATCATGTGAGATATCACCGATAACATCGCGTCTTTTCAGTTCGCTTAACCGCCGGCTTTCCAGTGCCGCCAACGGACATATTCTTGAGTAGTGTTGTGCCGAGTCAAACCGACTCGAATACCTATTAAATAGTCATTTACTCGAGTACTCAATATACCGAACTCGAATATATGATATCCGAATACAAGTTTTAATTAATCTAGTCATGTATTTATTGTAAATTTTTAAGTCTCTGTTATAAATTATTATTATTATTTGCCATGTGGTCCTCGCATAGAATGTGCTACCTCTTCCTTTACCATGGGTGTTGTAAAAGGCGACTAAGAGAACTTAATTATTGAAGAATGGGCAGCAGTGTCTATCTTAAAACATCACCAAAGCTTAACTGCGGTTGCCAACCCGCCTGCCAAACGTGGTTATTACTAACAAAACCTCTCTTATGAGAAGACTTACGTACAACAGTGGACAGTTAAGGCTGATATGATGGTGATTATTATTAATTATCATTTTATAAATTATAAATTTATTTATTTATTTAACTCTTTATTGCACCATAAATAAAAATATAAAATGTCAAGTGAATAATTCAAGTGAAATAAAGTAACATAAATACAGATTGAAATACACATAAAGGTACAAAAGGCGGTCTTATCGCTAATAAAGATTAATTATTAAATGATTGCACATTTTTTTTTTTTTTATTTTTTTTTTATTATACACACCAGTTATAAGAATATGACATAGGTAATCAAATGTACAAAGGCGAGCTTAACTCTAATAGAGGTTTCTTCCAGCAAACCTTAAGAAGGAAATTTATTATGTTTATTACAAGTAAAATTAAGAGATTACTAGAATTTTATGAAGTTCTTTAATTTCCAAACAATACTCGATTACTTATACGAGTACTCGAACTCGAATCAGAATGTGACTTTATTTAATCCATTCTAAAATACTCGAATACATTAACACATCGACTCGGGACATCACTACACGCAAGTACTGAAGTTATCTGGTAACAAGTTGTTCCTTAGCTCTTCTAAGACAACTAACAGCTTGTTTGCTGCGAATATTTACATATTAATTCCTGTTAATACTGGTGTTTTTATTAAATTTGATCTGGGTATTGTTCAGAGCATAATGTTAATCCTACTGCCAAAGTTATTTTGTGCTTAACCCTTCATTGCACGATTTCTTTTATTGGTGAAATAAATCAAGGTGATATAATTCATGTTCAAAATTAAAGGAAAAATGGTTAAAAATATGTATATAAACATACATTGGTCATAGTTGCAAAAATTATGGAAAATTGCCTACGAGTACATCTTTACGATTACCTCTTCACGCCTAATCATATTCCAAATGTATATAATTGTATGATATTAGCACAACTCATACAGCGTTTCCATTTAATAAGATTTACAATGAAAGCTCATTTGCCAAGTAACTATGGGGAAATATATAGTAACTGACGGCAAGTAATGTATGAATAATTTTACCATATGTACGTATCTAAATGCATATTATGTGTTTTACATATTTATTACATATTTATTTATGTAATAGGAACGTACTTATATGTATATTATATACAAATATATACAAATAATTACATATGTTTTATTAACATGAGCGTTTTTTATTTGTTACATCTCTTGCGCCAATAGTTACCGTTTCTTTCTTTTCTCTTCTGTCCAAAGGTTGTCTGTCAAAATCTTTTGCTAATTTTCATGATTTTTAAATGGGTCAGTGTATATTGGCCGGGCACTAGTGAAAGATGATAGGTGAGGATGAAGTGGATCAGTTGGTCCATCGTGATGAATTCAATAATTATTAACCGCAATTGTTTCCAGGGGGACTTAGTGGAGAGCGACGTGTTAGGATAAATTTTTAGCAATGGAACAGACAGACTCCATTACTGACAATCCCTATGTTATACACAAGTACACGATTCTGCGGTCTAAATTCAAATATTTTTAATAGACTTCAAAAATAAAGAAGACTCGCAATTCGATCGCGTTCCTTTTTAAATTTGTTACTTCAGATTTTTTTTCTTTTAAAATGAATATATCTACTTTCACATTAGTCGCAAAGAAATTTTATCAGAATCGGTACAGTAGTTTAGATTTTAAATCAAAATAAAAACGTTTGACCAGGATGAAGCCGTTTTTTTTCAACACAGGGGGCAAACGAGCATGCGGCTCACCTGATGGTAAGTGACTACCGCCGCCCATAATCACCCACAAAACTAAAAGCATTGCAGGTGTGCTGCCGGACTTTTAAAAAGGAATATGCTCTTTTCTTGAAGGTTATGATGTCGTATCGGTTCGGAAATACTGCTGCCGGAAGTTGTTTCCAAAGAGTGGTTGTGTTTTTTTGACAAGAGACAAGAGAAAAATCTATTTATCAATATCAATGTTATATATTTAGGAAACATATCTTTGTCCATCCGTGTGTCTTATTACTTATTACACTGCAACAAGTATCTTTTTTTTTTTTAAATGC